TGTAGTGCATTGTGGGATACTCCTCTCAGGGTATTATGGGAGTTTGGGGTCAAATTCTCACAAGCACCACTGTACCATCCCATAACCTGCTCTTCCTTGTGCCAGTTTTCGATCTCTGCCATCTTACTGTGAGAACTATAGATGCTGAACAGACCAGAAGAGCTATCGTGTCTGTTTAAGAGACCAAGCAACTGATTGTACTGTGTTTGCAGAACTCAGACAGTTACCATGACAGCTGGGTGTGCAGCAATGAATTGGAGATAACTGAGGATGTCTGGATGATGCAGGTAATCAGTGCCTTTGCTAGTTGCTGTAGCCATTCGCTGACCAACTGCATATGGTAGAGTAGCAGTTCTGGGCTCATGAAACTAGCATAGAAAAGTGGGATTGCATTGTAATGCAAATATGGGATCATAGCAGTGGCTGCAGGATTTGTGGAAAGCCACATTTCTGGAGCTGTGTGCTGAGCTTGGCCCAGCTCTTCAGTGCGGGCACTCCAGAATGAGAGATGTTTTGACAGTGAAGAAATGGGTGGCTGTTGTTCTAGAAGCTTGGAACCCCAGATGACTATCAGAGGATGGTCAATCTCAGTTCAGTGCTGGAAAAATCTATGGTGGGGGTGGGCATCATCCAGGTGTGCAAGGCCATTAAATGTGTTCTGTGGTACAGGTTGTAACTCCGGGCAATGTGAAGGAAACGATGGATTCAACAAAATGGGCTTCCCTAATTATGGCGGGGCCATGGGTGGAATGCATATCCTGAACCATCCATTCCTTCGCTCTCTCCCTTCCCTCACCCCCCCCCACCTCACTTTGGAGTACATAAACAGGGAAGGGGTACTTTTCAATGGTAATGCATTCATGAGTAGATCACCATGGACGTTTCACTGACACTAACACTGGCTGGTAAGGAAAAGTTCTTGATGCTCACATCTTTAGGAATACAGGTTTTTTTAACAAGCTGCAAGCAGGGACACTGATAGGGTTGGAAGATACCCCCTGTATGTGTTCTCTGGTTTCACAGGTCTTGAACTTGGACCACTAGAGAAGTTCCAAGAACAGGTCCTCTCCTGTCTTTTTTTTTTTTTCTTTTTCTTTCTTTTTCTTTTACCCCCTCCTGATCAAGGTCACTCTTTCAGCCGGCATGGCTGGGCTGGCCCTCAAGAATGTCCCAGCCATGAGGTCACTGATAAACAACCAGAGAGGCAGCCATTGTTAGATTTAAGGGATTAGTAGACATCAAAAAATAAATGCCACAGTGCTTAAAATATTTCCCGTATCGATCTGTATAAAATATATGAACAGGTCACAGTCACATCTGCTTGCACCAGGCTCATGCACCAGCACATGCCATGGTAAGTGTATGGGGTACTTTTGAAACCCTTTAGGTGTGATGGGTGCAGGGCTAGATGTGGGGTCCAGGGTAAATGTAGGGATAATGCAGTAAACACTGTTGAACTTTGGCAGTGGGGATCCTGGCAGCTATATCGCTTTCGAGGATACAAAAGGCCCAGAGAAAGCAATTGCTCAAGATGGCTTGAGGTTGCCTGGGCCCATACACAGCTGGCTTCTTCACAGTGATCATACCCCTGGAGCTCATTGCAGAGTGTCTTATTGCAGTGGGAGAAACAAGACTGCTCTTCCTAGAAATGCATGGGCAAAGATCAGAGTACTTGCTGAAAGTTTCCCTGACACTGTGCCAGAGGACAAAAAGGATGTCTGGGCCAAGGTAAACCAGAAACTCTGCAAGTGGAGGAGAGTTGTGGTAGTTGGCTATTGCTGTGAGCCAGTCCAAACCCCGTGAGCCAGCAGCAGTTTCTGCCCCTTTCCTGACTCTACGCACAGCATGAAAATATTTTGTTTTGTACTTGGATTTTCAGACATGAAAAGCAAAATATTGTGTGTTATGGTCTAGAAAACCTTCATCTCATAAGCTTACAAGAATATTTCTGCAACATCATGTAGTGAATGCCCTAAGGTACTAGATTGTTTGCAAGCATTGTTTTGGTTTTTTTGATGTATTTATTTTAAATGCTCAGGTATTGGATTGTGTATATGTCTTTTCTGGTTTTATTTTTATTTTAAAAATGTTCTTCCTTTGAAAGGCTTCTTATCAAAGGCTTCTGCCAAAGCATGAGTTTGGGAATGCTTTTTGGTATCTTAAAGAATTTCTGGGGTTTTATTTTTTATTATTGCTGCCCTTAAAATAAACCACCTACTTTAAAACAGAATCCCTTTGTTCTCTGCTACGTGCAGTCGGCAGCCATTTTGAGAGGGAGATAGGGGCCAGAGAAAGGGAAGTGAAGTGTTGGGGATCATAAAGAGAGCTTTAAAAAAGTATGCATTAATGGGGGTGGTAAAATACACCTATCTGAGTCCCTATCCCCTTCCTTGATGTGTTCTGTCTCTGGGTCCAGCTGCATCTCAAATAGCTCTTGGTTATCTGTGGGCTCTGCATCCTCCATATCGCCCTCCTCAATGAACTCTTCCTCACTCTGCATTTCTGGGGTTTCTTCCGCTGGATGTTGCGAGGTGTCCACTGTCACAGGCTGGTGATGGGGTCCCGCTCAGTATGACATCAAACTCTGTCTAGTAGAAGCAGCTCAGAGGGACAGCACCAAACGAGGATTGACACATTTCCAATGGTTGGTAACCGGATCCTTGATTCCTTGCCCCCTGCCTTGCCTCTTCGCCTGAGGCCCCGTCCCTGCCCTGCCTCTTCCACCCGAGGCCCTGCCTCAGCACACCACATGCTGTCGCCGCGAGCCTGGCCCCAGAGGTGGTGGCAGTGGCTGCTGCTGCACTGTCTCCTTCCTTCTGCTTAGGGTTGCCATAGATTAAAAAAAAAACCCTGACATCATGGCTTGTCAAATGGCACTCAGACACACAAGCCGAAACCCGGACTCTCCGGGTGAAAACCGGACAGGTGGCAACCCTCCACCAGACTGCCTTTGCCCAGTCTTGTCACCTGCCTTCGTCCCTGCCATACCTCAGCTTCCGCATCTCCTTTGCAATATCCAAATAAACATCCAGGCAGCAGTAGTGGGAGGTTTCATTGTAGCTTTACGTGGAATCATGCCAGTCGGCTTGCTTGCAAAGATGGGCTAGCAGGAATAGTGGTATTTCCAAAACATCCTGGGCATTTTAAATGTGAGAATGGGGAGGATGGGCTTCCAGACACTGTGACCCTGGGCAGCAGAGGGCAAGGATTCAGCCGGAGAAATCACATGTGCAATTACTGCCAGCACTGTTTGTGTTCTCCAATTTACTGATTAATAAGAATTCAAGTGATGCATAGGCATTCAAGAAGTCAGCCCCCAGATTTCTATAGTGTGGCCGTGGCATCTTCCTCTCTATCACAGAAGTGCAGCTACTCAGATCAGGATGACCTGTGTTTTCTGCAGGCTGCAAGTCTATATTAAACAGCTGCATTCTGGTTTATTTTTTGCAATTTGAGTGCATTCCTTAGGCTTCTGACAAGTGACCAGTTCGAGAGCTCAGTAGCAAAAGTTTGGGTGCCTTGAAGTAACATGATCAGGCCCTTCTAACTAACTTCCTGTGCCAGCCCAGCCCTGCGTCTCCATTCCCCAGGAGTGGAGAAGTTGAGAAAATGGAGGAACTGGGCAGAGGTGTGATGTAAGGCTGGCAGGGGACACTTGTAACTGAGCCTGAGAGAGTTAATGTGTATGTAATGCTGACAGACCCTGTCATCTGTGAGCAGGATTGAACCTGGGGCCTCTGGAGCTTAGTGCATGAGCCTCTACAGCATGAGTTAAAAGCCAACTGGCTATTAGCTAAAGTTGTAGAGCAGACTTATTTAAGTCTCTTTCTAAGTGGTCTTGGTGCCACTAAATGGGACAGAACACCACACCCTGGAGGGGTGTGGGTTACATGTTGAGCTAGTAAGAGTGTTGTAGCTCGACCCCTAGGAGCTGCTAGCATGACCCTCTGGGCTTTTTTTCCCTTGGCCCCAGTCCCAGACAGTACTCTTATACTTGAAGAAGTGGAAGCGTCTAAAGCGGGTAGCCCTCCCTTTTGTAGGAGGGGAGACAGAGAGGAGGAAGACTGGAGGGAAGGCTCAGAGTGAATACTGACCACTGTCATGTATTTAAGGGTCACAACTTTTTGTAACCTTGACCCATGTTGTGTGACGGGGGGCAGGAAATAAAGGCTGGTCTCTTCCTGTGTGTTTGCACCTTTACAGTGTGAGGGTCTGAATCTCCCTGTAGAAGAGGCCAGTGGTGGCAAATTATCATAGCTGCTATGAAACAGCCTCTCTGGAACTGCCAGTTTCCACTTAATGGTCAAACAGGACCTGGCCAGTAATTCATACTCCTGCAACCAGGAAGCAGGCTCTTCTATGGGGAAGGGAGAGAGAGAGAGAGAGAGAGAGACAGGTTTAAATATGTTATCTTTATTTTCAAGTAAAACACAAATTATTAAATTGCTTCTCGGGAGCCTCCCAGTTGTTTATATATAAAAACACACTTCACATTCCTTCCAAATGATAATATTTACAGTTATGCTGTGCAATAATTGTAGTGTGTGTGTGTGTGTGTATATATATATATATGTTTTGGTGGGCTGGCCATGTTGGATTCATTTTAGAAAGATATCCATATAAATTGTGAATTCTCCTGTTTATTTCCAAATAGTGAGTGTGTGTGTGTGTGTGTGTGTGTGTGTGTGTGTAAATATATAATACTTAGTTATTTGATTTATTCTTAGGTTAAGAATTATGAGTTATCTGAAACTGCTTACCTTATAATGCAGTCAGAAATTGCTTCCCAAAACAATGATATTATTGTCTGGACTGCCTTTGTCACTAGTCAATTTCTTTTGAAGCAAAATGACAGCAATTTTAGAGTCTGTGGAGGGCAAAGAGGTAGTGGCCTAGTTAGTGATGCTAAATAGAAGTGGCTGCCTTAGGGGTGTTGAATTTTTTTCCCCTTTTAAGAGAAATAAAGGAAAATGTAATAATAATTGCTTTTAATTTTGCAGGCAGGCAGCATTAAGCGTGAAATGACCTTCACTACATTTCAACAGGATGACCTAAAAAGTGACATCAGTCAAAAATTACCAGACCAACAGTTTCTCCTGTTGGCCATGAGGGAGGAAGATTTAAAAACTGCAGACACCAAAAAAACAAACAGAATTCATGAGCATGAAAAAGAAAACACTCGTTCTGTCTGTCTTCTTGAACAGAAACGCAAGGTTGTTTCTTCAAATATTGATGTGCCTCCAGCAAGGTAAGGACAGACTTTTAAAAGCATGTTTTGTTTTGTCTTTTAGTGGAAGAGGGGAGGAATGTTGATTACTGGTACTGTTGGCACAGTGAGGCTAATACGCATTCTCCAGCAGGTCAAAGTAAAGCATTAAACTGTTCTTCTGAAGTGTCAGCTGGAGAACTAAACATACCAATAACAAAAACCGGAAACGGAAAGCATTTGAACCTTACCAGCATGTGTTGCTTCTGCTCCCTCTCTGTCACTGAATGGTTGTGCAGGGTATAGTAAGTTTCAATCCACTTAGCTACACTGCTAGTAGTGTGCTCTGGAAAAGATTTTTTTTAAAAGAGAAACAAATACTGAGTACCAATAAAGGGAGGTGGGGGAGAGAAAAATGGAGATGGAATAGTATTAACAGAGAAATGGACATAAATACAATGTGAGTTTGTCATTTTACATCGAGACCCAGTCTGGTGTAGTGCACAGCTGAGGCACCCTAGAAGAAGGATCTGTGCCCCTGACAAGTAAGAGATTGATGACTGAGGCAGAGCCAAGGATCTTCCCACTCCTATCCCATCTGCCTGCATGCTTGCTCTCCAGGAGAGGCTGAAGGTCCCTAAAAGTGTGTGTGTGGGGGGGCACTGGTGCTCAAATTGTGGCCCTGTTTCTCCCCCCCTCCCCACAGCTGCCCCTTCCCACCCCCTGAGGCCTCCTTCCTGTGCTGCCTCTTTTCCCCAAGGTCCTGCCCTCCACTCACTCCTCTCCGTTCCTTCCCCCCATGTTGCTTGCCCTTATGGCCTGTAAAAAGTGGGAAGGCCATGGCCCTCTTACCCCCCCCTTCATTCCAGCACCCCTGTTGCTACCCCCACACCGTACCTGCATCTGCAACATGGAGAGGATACTCAAGGGAGTATGTGGGGTCTTATTCTCCATTATACCCCTAGGGCTGAGTCATAATGAGGCCTGTTGAAGAGCGGGAGAGAAAGGAAATGAATGAATTGAGGAAAATAAACATGAAGGGGAAGGTAACAAAGGAAAGAAAAATCTGTGTGTTCCCAGGAAGTGAGATGGGGTGTGGATAATTCAACTAAAAATATCTCTGAGCCATTGTGGTATAAATAGTTGTGTGTACTTTTACTTTGTACATGTTATTACACTTCTCCTGCCCACTGTGAAACTACTGTAAATGCACACAAACGTAGGTAATTTTATTAGACAATTCCACTTTTGGTTAAACTGCTCAAGATGAGTATTTGGGGATAAATAACTGTTCTCCAACTTGACAAATGCCCAGGTGAGAAGGAGATGACACTGTTTATTTGTATGTTTTCTGGAATTTAAGTAACAGCTAGAGAGGGAATTTCATGTATAAAGCTTATACAGAGTAAACTAATAAATTGTTCGCCCTCTATAACACTGAGAGAGAGAGAGATGCACAGCTGTTTGCCCCCTCCAGGTATTAATACTTACTCTGGGTTAATTAATAAGTAAAAAGTGATTTTAGTAAATCCAAAAAGTAGGATTTAAGTGGTTCAAGTAATAACAAACAGAACAAAGTAAATTACCAAACAAAATAAAATAAAACACTCAAGTCTAAGCCTAATACAATAGGAAACTAAATGCAGGTAAATCTCACCCTCAGAGATGTTCCAATAAGCTTCTTTGACAGACTAGTCGTCTTCTAGTCTGGGTCCAGCAATCACTCACACCCTTGTAGTTACTGTCCTTTGTTCCAGTTTCTTTTAGCCTCTCCACCCCCAAGAGATGCCTATCTCTTGAGCCAGCTGAAGACAAAATGGAGGGATTTCCAGGGGCTTATATAGTCTCTCTCTTGTGGGTGGAAACCCCTCTCTTCCCCTGTGTAGAATCACAGCTACAAGGTGTAGTTTTGGAGTCACATGGGCAAGTCAGTTCTTTACAGGCCAAGCCATTGCCCATATGTTAGACCTAACGTTCCTAGGAAAGCTCAGATGTGGATTGGCGTCTCTCTCAAGGTCCATTGTTAGCCAAGTACTCTCAATTACTTGAATAACCCCTTCACACTATGTTGACCAAATCTGCCTTAGGTGCTTTCTACAGCAAACACTTTAAATACAAGCATAGAGCCAATGCTCATAACTTCAGATTTAAAAATGATACATGCATATGACTAGGATGAATACATGCAGTAGAACATAACCTTTGCAAAGATATGTTACATGGCATTTCAAGTATAAAACATATTCCGTTATGTTTTACACTAGATATGCATATTTACACTCAAAAGCATATTTCTATAAAGCATTATGGGGTGCAAGGTCACAAATGCTTCCTCTAGGAAATTCTGAAAATTAGAATGCCAGAAAACATCTCTCACTCACTCTCACACACACGCGCACACACACACACACTTTCTGTGATGGTTCAAACTTCTCCTGATTCTCCTTTCTGTAATGGCTAAAAACCACTATAGGTAATGTGGTGAATGTCCTGGGGTCCAGGTTAACCTGTAGTGTTCTAGTATGTTTTTTCTTTTTTAATTTTGACATTGAGGTTTCAGCAAAGGCCTTGTAAAATGTCTGCATAGTAAATTTACTTGTAGGTAATACTCGGTGGAATGCCTTCCAATATGTCTAGTTGTCCAAGTTCGTTTATTACAAGTTCTGCCTTTGAAGTATATTGTGGTACTGGGACTGGAAAAAGGATGATGCGATTGAGCTGCAAAGTTCAAGACTAGATCAGAGCTTCCCCGAAGTCTGAAGGTGGCGGTACCACTGGTTTTGCTCTGGCCCCTAGAGATAGAAGCCAACTGTGGAAATCCATGAAGATCACAAATGTTCAGAGCTGGGATTCTAATAAACAAGTGAATGTTTAAAATTTGAAAATCTTAGTGCAGGGATCGGCAACCTTTGGCACATGGCCCACCAGGGTACTTACCCTGGCGGGCCATGTGCCAAAGGTTGCCGATTTGTTTACCTGCCGCGTCCGCAGGTTTGGCCGATCACAGCTCCCATTGACCGCTGTCCCCTGTTCCAGGTCAATGGGGGCTGCGGGAAGCGGCATGGGCCAAGGGATGTGCTGGCTGCCACTTCCCACAGCCCCCATTGGCCTAGAGCGGCGAACCACCGCCAGTGGGAGCCATGATCGGCCAAACCTGCGGACGCGGCAGGTAAACAAACCGTCCCGTCCCGTCAGGGTGCTTACCCTGGCGAGCCGCGGGCCAAAGCTTGCTGATCCCTGCCTTGGTATATTTCAATGTTTTCATGATACTCATCACTGTATTTTCTGAGTGCCACCCAAAAGTGACTGGACTTCTCTCAAAACACCCATGTGAGTAAGGCAGTATTTGTATCTCCATTTAAGGAAACTGAGGCACAGAGCGTAAGTGCCTTTTGTTCAATCATAGAAATGTAGGGCTGGAAGGGACCTCGAGAGGCAGGACCAAGTAAACCTAGGCCATACCTGACAGGGGGGTTATCCAACCTGTTCTTAAACATCTCCAATGATGGGATTCCACAACCTGCCTGGAAGCTTATTTCAGAACTTAACTGCCATTATAGTTAGAAAAGTTTTCCTAATATCTAATATAAATCTCCCTTGCTGCAGATTAAGCCCATTACATCATGTCCTATCTTCAGTGGACATGGAGAACAATTGAAAAATGTCCTCTTGTAACAGCCCTTAACATATTTGAAGACTGCTATCAGGTCCTCCCTCAGTCTGCTTTTCTCGAGACTAACCATGCCCATTTTAAACTTTTCATCATAGGTCACGTTTTCTGAACCTTTTATCATTTGTGTTGCTCTCCTCTGGACTCTCCTATATTGAGGTGCCCAGGATTGGACAGAGTACTCCAGCCAAGGCCTCACCAGTGCTGAACAGAGCAGGACAGCTACCTCCCATGTCTTATATTTGAGATTCCTGTTTATACACCCCAGAATATTAGCCTTTTTAGCAACTGCATCACATTGTTGACTCCATTCAATTTATGATTCACTATAATCTCCAGATCCTTTTCGGTAGTACTACTGCTTAGCCAGTTATTCCCCATTTTGTAGTTGTGCATTTGATTTTTTTCCTGCCAAAGAATAATACTTTGCACTTGTCTTTATAATATTTCATCTTGTTGATTTCAGAACAATTCTCCAATTTATCAACGTCATTTTTAATTCTAATCCTGCCCTCCTAATGTGCTAGCAACCCCTCCCAGCTTGGTGTCCTCCACAAATTTTACAAGCATATTCTTCACTCCATTATTGAAGTCATTAATGAAAATAGTGAATAGTACTGGACCCCAGGACAGACTCCTCCACAATTCCACTAGATATGTTCCCTCTGTTTGACAGTAAACCATTGATAAATATTCTTTGAATACAGTCTTTAAACCAGATTTGCATCCTCCTTATAGTAATGTCATCTATATTACATTTCCCTAGTTGCATATGAGAATGTCATGGGGGACTGTCAAGCCTTACTAAAATCAAGATAGATCACATCTACAGCTTTCTCTCTATGCGCGAGGTCAGTAACCCTGTCAAAGAAGGAAATTAAGTTGGTTTGGCATGTTTTGTTCTTGATGACAAATCAATGTAAGCTATTTCTAAAAACTCTGTTATCCTCTAGTGCTTACTAGTTTGTTTAATTATTTGTTCAAGTATCTTTCCAGGTACCGAGGTTAGGCTGACTAGTCAATATTTCTCCAGGTTCTCTTTGTTCCCCTTTTTAATGGTTGGTACTATGTTTGCCCTTCTCTAGTTCTCTGCGATCTCATCCATCCTCCATGAGTGCTCAGAGATAATCACTATCAGTTCCGAAATTGCTTCAGTTTAAGTACCCTCGGATGAATTTCGCTAGGGCCTGCCAACTTGTATATATCCAATTTATCTAAATATTGTTAACCAGGTTTTTTCCTATTTTGGCTTGCATTTCTTGTTGTTAATATTAATTGTGTTAAGTATCTGATCACAACTTACATTTCTAGTGAAGACTGAAGCAAAATAGGCATCAAAGACCTCATTTGTCTTGATGTCATCATCTGTTGT